GTGAAGAGAAAAGTTAAAACTTGGTGTCTAACACATAGTAGGTGCGCAACATGTTATTCCTCTTGGCGTCATTTCTTGCAGTTGTCAACTCTGGTCTGTGTGCTAAATTAATATAATCCAACTACTGTTGGGGAGGAAGTAAAGAAGCTAATATTTATCCAGCACCCACTGACATATGTACTAGTCACTGTGCAACATGATATCCTTCATCTCATTTAATTTACCAGATAACCCCATGAAATCTATAAAAATGAAAAATGAGATTCAAAAGGTTAAGTGATTCTTCCTAGCCCCTGGAGCTAAACACTGAGTGCTAGGTCCAGACTGGCTGGGCTCTCCACTATTTATTTAGTCTCTGTGATTCAGGTTTTTGTTTTGCTTTTTTTTTCTCCTGTAAAATGGGATGATTATCAGACCTCCTTCGTAGGCTTGTTATGAGCATTAAATAGAATCATTCCTATGAAAAGCCTTTAAATATTGTGTGGAACCTACTGTGCATTCAATAGAGGTAAACTGTTGTTAGAATTGTTCATTTAAGCAAAGAGAAGATTTGAATTGAATTTCTTTTACTCCAGATATACTCCATATATATGGAATAATTAAATTGAATGGTTCTAAAGCAGAAGCTCTGTGCAAAGTGCTGGGCTAAGCATCATTTGGGGAAACACAAATATGAAGGCAACAGAGTCTCTGTCCCACAGGGAAAGGGGAGACCAGCAGATGTGTAATTAAGTGTGATGATTGGGTTTGGGGATGTGCCCAGAGAAATTCAGAGGAAGTTCTGTGAGAGCCCAGAGGAGGGAGCCCTTCAGACTGGTGGGGGAGGGCTGTGGTAACAGAAAAAGCACCTGAAGATCCTTGCCCCTGGTGGGTTCTAATCTTGAAAGAAAGACATAAACAGGACACCAGGAACAATGCAAGATCCTATCTCAGGGAGTTCCAGATTCTACCACACAGAAAATGCTTGCCTAGGAATTCTGAGATGAGTGTAATCCTGGCTTGGAGTAAGAAGTTGGTGGGGCTCGGCTGGAGATGAGAGGTAAAATTCAGAGCCCTGGAAAGGAAGAGAGGGTGCTCATTTATTGAGCACCTACTATGTCATACAGCCCATTGTCCTCAAGACAGTTCTGTGATAAGGCCACTGAGACTCAGGGAAATTCACATGCTGAAATAGGAACCCAGGTCATAATGATGTGTACTTTAAAAAAAAAAAAAGATTTTATTTATTTATTTGTCAGAGAGAGAGAGAGAGCACGAGCAGGGGGAGCTGGAGAAGAGGGAGAAGCAGACTCCCCGCTGAGTAAGGAGACCGATGCAGGACTCAATCCCAGGACCCTGGGATCATGACCTGAACCAAAGGCAGATGCTTAACCGACTGAGCCACCTAGTTGTCCCTGATGTGTACTTTTTGATGTGTATATGAACCACTCTCACTCATTCAAACCCCACCAAACTTTAGGATGCCACTCAGATGTTACTCTCCTAACTTCCCATAGACCCTTACATCCTGCCTGGCAAAATATCTTGCTTTTAATTATTACCAGATAAAAGGAATAAGGAAGGTGCATATCCAAAGAGTGGAGGAACAGAATTATTTTTGTTCTAAAAAGTAGTATTTAGGACAAAACTCCCCCCCCCCAATAAGGAACTCCTTGGGTGGGAGTTGGGATGGAATTGACTAAATATGGGACAATCCAATGGAAATTACTGGCATACTTTAATAACTGGTGGCTCCATTATACTTCAGATTTGGAAGCGATCTTAGGTATCTTCAACTCCAGTTCTTTCATTTTATGGAAGAGCAAACAGGTCAAATGTCCACACAGGTCAGAATTAGAACCTGAGTCCCCTAACCATCCGATGATTGCTCTTTGACTGTAAATGATGAAAGGACAGGGGACAAACCCTTGAAAGACCAAGGGATGGAGTAAAAGAAGGATAGCAGCAGGTGATATGTATCTCATATAAATAAATAAGAATGGCTTGCTTCGACCAGTGATTAGGGTGGGTCCTAAAGCAAGGGTTACACTTCATTCAGTCCTATTCACTCAGTTAAAAGCAAACACATACATACATGCATGTATAAAAGTCAAAGGGGCTTCCGAGACAGGTGGGATAGAATAATAAACATGTGCTCAATGAAAAGACCGGTGAAAGGCTTTACCACTTCCTCCAGTGCACTTAGGGACTGAGATCAAGAAGTGCAGGAGCTATGATACTTGGATCTATCCCTTCGTCTTTGTGTCTGCCACAGGAGAGAAATGAACACTTGGCGTCCTGGATTTTCATTTGTCCTTTAGAACCTAAGGGGCACTTGACACTTGACAACAGCAGTAGGTTAAATGGTATTCATGTAGCATGTTTATAGTTTACAAGGTATTACACCCCAGAGCATATTTTGTTCTCAAAATGAATTCGTGAGATATTCCCATTTTAAAGGTAAAGAAGTGGAAGGCTCGTGAAGCAAAGTGGCTCATGCGGGGCAGAGCATTGGCATGTGTTGGGTGACTGGGGACTTAGAACTGTAACTCCTGTGTTATGATTCTTTGTGGGAAAGTTGACAAAGTCCCAAAGGTCTAGGAATATTCAAAACTATTGTATACAATGACTTAGAAGCCCCTGGAAGAAATACAGTTTTCCAATGCCTAATTGCCACAATTTAAGTGATTTAGTAGTCATGTTCCAACCTCTGTTGGGGAAAGAGGGGGATTTTGCAGGATGTAATTTATGGAGTTCAACATAGATCTTTTATTTTTTCTTTTTTTATTGAATGCCAACCTCATGACTTTCACAGATGACTTGGAATTGCAGAAAGTGAACAATTTGCTTGGGCAAATTCCACTATCTATGGCATTGTACCCCCAAAGATCATTTCCTTTCAGCCTGGAAACACATTTAATATAATGCCATTTTCATTTCATAACTGGAGAAACTGAGTTCAGACATTCTTGGCCTTAGACCATATGGCAAGTACTTCCCAAACCAAGAAGATCTGAATCTGGGATCTCCTGTTTTCAGAATAGTGCCATAATCCCTGCATACCACATTCCGGCTTTTATAGAGGGGAGGTCTGAGTCATTTGCTCATTCTACAAATCTGCATACTTTCACCAACACATATTCTCCACTGGTGTTCACTCTCCCTGAAGTGTTCAGGAATGATCCCAGCTCTCCGGAAGGATCTGGAGCAGCCCCGAGGACAGGAGTGCATGGGGAGGAAAGTCCCTGGTTAATGGAGCAAATTTCACCTCAGGCTCCTAGCATGCTATCCACACGCAAACCTCACACAGAATATTTTTATCACTACATTATTTGAACATACTGGTAATTAATAATTTGTAATTCACCCCTGCTAACTCATTTTGACTTATTAAACACTTGGAAGGAAAAAAAAAAAGAACTGTTTTGCCATAAGGGGGAGCTTTTGAGTTCCATAAAGAGGGGGGAAAAAGAACAAAAATATATTACATATATGTCCCAGTTCAAAACAGATCCACAAAGCAGCAAATGGTCAGATCCTTACCTGTGACTTGAACAGTGTCAGAGAACCTGAATTTCTTAGGTTGAAAAGAGCAAGCAAATTAATATTTTTCTCTCATTTTTTAATAGAAAACTACAATAATTTCTAACAGCCAATAGAATATTTTTAAGAGTATTCAGGAGTATTTAGAGACCTAGTTGTGCTGAGTGTAAGCTTCGGAAAGGCAAATGCCTTGGAATATGCCTTTCCCCTGGTTGTTCCTGATGATTCCGTGAGGATTTTGGAGACAACACTTGGACTAACTGAAGCCAGCGGCACTGGGGGCTCAGGGAAGAGGGGGGACGTTCACCATTGCATAACTTTAAGGGAATTCTGAGCCCGGAAAAGGATAGGGAAGGCAAAAGGGAGGGGGGAAAGGAGGAAGGAAAGAGGAAGAGGGAGAGAAAGGGAGTGGAGAGAGGGAGAAAAGGAGAGGGAGAGAGAGGGAGGGAGAGAGACAGATGAGAGAGAGGGAGAGGGACAGCATTACAAAAAATTTAAAGAATCAAGTTTCAAGACCCTTTCTGTGCTATAGAGAAGGATGAGGTTTACCAGCAAAGTGCAAAGGGGATCCTGAGCGAAGAGAGAGATTTTTCTCCCGCCAGGAGGAAAAAAATAATAATAATAATAAGGGGACGGGTGGTGAAGGAGCGGGGGGAAGCAAGCAAAACAAAACAAAAACAGGAATGTGTGTTTTGAGCAGGAATGAGAACTGGAAGGACTGAAAGGGGGTGTGTACAGAATTTCATTAAATTGTTACTTTAAGATTGTCTTCTAAAAAAAAAAAGGAGGGGGTGGAGAAGCGGGAGCGAAGGAGGCAAACGGCGAAGTAGAGGAAGGCTGGGTAGCTCGGCCTCTCCAAACTGATTGATTAGTCATGATCCCCGCAGTTTTAACAGGGACTCATTCAATTGGGAAGGTGGAGCGCTCGGGAGCAGATTAGCATACGCTTGTTTACTCATCTTCTGAGGGCTTTTTCCCCCCTCTTTCCTTTCATTTTGTGAAGAAGGAGGGAGGGGAGGGGGGACTGGGGGGGGGAGAAGGGGGCTGTGGCTTGTGTTATAAAGGACGCAAAAAATAAATAAATTAGAGCATCTTTTGGGGGGGAGGGAATTCAGCGGATCAGTGTCTTAGAGGAGCTTTTTTTTTTTTTGAAGAGCGAGAAATCATATAAAATAAAATGAAATAAAATAAGGAGGAAGGCAACCAGCTGTTAGAGGGGGAAAATAAGGCAGATAAAGGAGCGGGGAGAGAAATTAATTGCCAACCAGGAGGAGTTGGGCTGTATTTTTCAAAGGTGGGGGGAGTGGAGCACACACCTTGAGGAGGGAAGCGAGAAAGAAAAGAAAAAAGCAAGTGGAAGGGGGGGCTCGCCCAAGAAGGGTGAAGAAGCGAAGAAAGTCGAGGCGCCGAGGCTCCCAAAGCTGGCAGCTCCGGGCGGCGGTGCAGGGGCGAAGGGGGGGCGGGGGGGACCGTCGGACATGCGGCTCTGGAGTTGGGTGCTGCGCCTGGGGCTGCTGAGCGCCGCGCTGGGCTGCGGGCTGGCCGAGCGCCCCCGCCGGGCCCGGAGAGACCCGCGGGCCGGCCGCCCCCCGCGCC